AACTAGCAAATGATATATTGAGTTATGTGTGGCTAGATAGATACATATGTGCTCTAGTGACACTAAAGCATGGTACTTCTGGACCAAGTATTTGTTCATTACCTTCTAGAGGTCTAAATCGATCTTTAATCCATATCTAAAGATCTTGCAACTACCGAAACACATAATAAATGTTACTTATCCGCATAATGGATGTGATTTATCCATATGTATTCTTCTTAAAGCTTTTATTTCAAACTTTTTCTTTAAGTAATTTGCAGTTTTTGAAAACTCATCAGGAGTTGTGATACTATCATTATAAATAGTATCGATAATAGACTCATTTTGAATCTTTTCATAAACAGACAAGTTGGAATAAGTTTACAACATTCCTTCAGTTGATATTAACCACATGTGTCTCATATAGAGACTTACTTCAATGATGTTCTTGAGAACATAATTGTATACTTCTAGAAACTTAAATCCTTCAAGAATTTTCATACATTATGATCCATATCTATTCATGTATTGGATCGTTTATATTTATACAAGAATTTGAATCCTTCTGGGATTCACATATAATTTCACTATATAGTGGGTCACTGTATTTCTAGACGTATATGAGATTTTATCAAACTGCCATATTGATAATATACATAAAAATTTTAATTCACCACAAGATTCTCTTTCTCTTTTCTTGTACAAATACCCCTTACACTTCAGGTGTTTGGGTTAGAGATACACAAATCTCCTGTTATAATGTTGCGTCTTTTCTTTTCTGTTGGCCAATCATTTTTCTATCTGTATCTCATAACAGATTTATATATAAGATCCTTACTTGATCATGTGATATCATCAATCAAATTATTGTCGACAATTTTATTCCTTTGTCGGTCTCGTTTTCTTTTATGACATAATATATCGAGATCTCTTTATTGCTTTCAGACACTTAAACCTCTTCAGGGGTCAAAGAGTTATGTCTTAATCTCTTTTGCAATTCATGCCTCCTTAGTATGATCATCATTATCATTTGCTCCTTTTTCTTTTCTTTTGGAACCGATCATAACATTATGCTTTTAGCATGTCTTCAAGAATAGGAGCATTTTTAGCTGGAATGTAAGAATTAAAAATTCTCATTTAGGTCAATAATTGCATCTGGCAGACATTAGTAATGTTTTACAAATGCAATACTTCATGAACTTCTAGTTCATACTACTATATTTGAGGATCTACATTTGATAATGAAAGTATATTCTATGTGTTCTCTTTTCCAGCTATACATTTTCTCCCCCTCATATTGGGAATATGCAATGTAGGTCTCCCAAATCCATAAATCTCTTTTAGAAACATTATTTTGTTTCATTTAGAGACAAACAAGAATAAGGAGGTTCTTATCCAACATTGATCCCAACTTACTTTTAATATCCACCTATGTCCATTATTACGATGGAATAATAAATATTGCATATTCTAAGATGAAAAATGTCTGACTCCTGACCAAAAGCCAAATATAATGGGAGAATTCACAATACATTGTTGGCTTGATGCATTTATGTGCAAAAATATATAAAATCAGTCATCCCAACACTCAAGTAGGAATTCTGTTCTCATAAACTCTGATCTAGCTTCTTATGGAGGCTTTTACTAAGCATATAATTATCAGCAACGTGAGGAACAATCACTAGCAATCTCAACAAGAATCGTATTGATTTCATAATCAAGAACTTATATACTTAATGTAATTATCTGAACATATTTGCAAACTTCAGGTTGCAAGTTGATCATAAACACCTGTGACCATTTTATAGATGCATCTTTCACTTATAGAGTATTACTTTGGTCTACATGGTGTCTAAATGGGCCCATATATAAATCTGATACATTATAAATCTGTACGGATCCGATTTTGAGCATAGCTAGTGATGTTCTCTATGAGAACAAACAACACATAAAAATTCTTGAATCACATATCATTTTAAAGAATCTTCTAGTTCTTTAATAAATGACAATGCACATTTTTTATGATATTTTGCATCATTATGATCCGGGATGATCTAACCGGTCATGCCAAACTATGAATGCATAAACTTTTGGTTTATTGTAAAATTATTCTCAATTATTGGTAAACTTCTTGTTACCATGTTATATTATTTATTTATTTTCCTTAATATTCCATAAGGAATATGTTATCAATTATAGATTTTATCTTCAGGATAATAAATAATGATATAACTTTTCTAGAGCATTAGTTTTTATCTTATACCCAAATGGTAGAAACCTGTGCACTCATGGAAGGTTTAGCGCTATTGGCTCTTCTGGAGCTTTTTTCAAAAGGAACATGAAATATAAGGAATGAAATTAATATTAATAATAACAAATTCCATCTAACATGATTCACACTTGTATTTCAACAATTTCAACAATCTCCCCCTCAAGTGTGAGTCATATAAATATATTTTTCTTATTTCTGTATTTCAAATACAATGAATAATATATAGTAAGCTAATAACATATCTTTAACTTGAAAATCCGAATACTTCCTGATTCATATATAATAATAGATTTAAATCTAATTGAGCTATCACTTTAAGACCCTTTAATAAGCAAATATTCTAATATAAATGTTTGTGGGTCATAATTTTTCATTATCAATTTCTTTTCTGCCCACAAAAATAATGGAGGGAACTACATTAGTTATTCAAGAACTATATCAATTTTGTTACTAGTTCTTCATGAACTATATCAACATTTTGCTATTAGTTCTTCTGGAACTATATCAATCTTTTGTTATTAGTCCTTCTGGAACTATATCAATTTTTTTTTTGATTACATATAGTTCTTCAAAAAAAATGCTATATATAGTTCTTCAGGAACTAAAATATATTATTATTTCACTATATAATATACTTCACTTTTTGTTATACCCCCCCTTTTTTTTATTTTTTATTTTTTTAAATATGAAGCATATATATATATTTTTATAAACAAACCATGTAATGATCCTTCTCATAATTAAAACTATATGGCTTCAGGCCATAAAATAAAAAACGATACATAGCATTTAGCTATTTAATTTCAAAATAAAAAAAATTAAAGATATATGATTTCTGATCATAAGATAAAAATTTGATGTTATATGGCTTCAGGCCAATTAATAAAATAACAAAATTAAATATTTATGACTTCTAGTCATAAGATAGAAAATCAAAATTATATGAATGCAAACCATTTAATAAGATAAAAGAAAATTTAAATATATATATAAATGGCTTCTGGCTATAAAATAGAAAATTCAACATGATATATATAAATAAAGAAAAATTATATATATGGCTTATGGCCATAAAATAGAAAATACAAATTATATTGCTTCTAGCCTTTTAATGAAATAAAAAAAATTCAAATATCTATGGCTTCTGGCCGTAAGATAGAAAATCAAATTTATATGGCAACTAGCCATTTAATAAGATAAAACAAAATTATATATATGGCTTCTGGCCATAAAATAGAAAATTCAAATTACATGGCTTCTAGCCATTTAATAAGATAACAGTAATCAAGTATATATGACTTCTAGCTATAAGATAGAAAATTTATACGTAAATACTTCTAGTAATTTAATAAGATAAAATTTCAAATACATATGACTTCAAGTCATTTTAAAAAAAATAGAGAATTAACCCCATATATATATATATATGGCTTCTAGCCATAAGATAAAAACTCAAAGTTGTATAGCTTCAGGCTATAATATAGAAAATCAAAATCATATGGCTTTTAGCCATTTAATTTGAAAAGAATGAAAAATCTGAGTTATATGGCTTCTGGCCATTTAGTTACAATAAGATGAAAACTTAAAATTATATGGCTTCTGACCATTTAACTTTAGATAGTAAATCTTTATGATTACTGCTAGTATCTATTGGAACTTCGGGTTCCATCGAAATAGTGACGTCAAGTCAATAAGAAATATAAGGGGAACAAAAATCCCCAATCATAGCCATGGAACCCGATGTTTAAAACAACGGTAGATAATCCTTTTAATTCCATATAATGGCTTAGATTATCCTAGATAAATTGAATAGGAATACGAATACTCTGAAACACCATATATATGATGGTCGAGGTATTTTTATTTGAACAGAGCAAATGATACTCTAGAAAAACAATAAAGATGATGTTCTAAAATTATGATGGGGTAGAAAAGTATATCATACGCACTTTGGTTAGAGTTTCGTGCTGATAACGTGTTATGAATAAAGAAGAAATAGAGAAGAATCATACAAAGGAAGAGAGGATTGATAAGAGAGAGTCTTTCTCATTCCATTCAAGAGTACACAATACATTATACATGACCTTTATTTATAGGCACAGCTTTACATCTTTGATAGAATCTACAAATCACATGATAATATGAGATAATTGTGGGATATAGAGATAATGGGAGATCTTAGAGATTATAGGAGATATAGGAGATAAAAAGAGATATATGGACATCCACAAAGATATTATTATATTCATAACATAAACAAATATACCGGACATATTACCATCACTAGCTTACCCGAGTACGATGTAACACGTAGAATCCAAGTCATTTATGTCACGGACTAGTTTCTGGGCCTTCTTCTCAGAGTTAGCAGTGGACCTTTGCGGCTCCTTCCTCTGTTTCTCTCCGCGTGAATCCCACAATAATCGGAAAATAAAACGGCAAGTAAAAAAGTGAGTAATAACCCCAGTGGATTCAATTGAACATTTTGTTCGTTTGGGTTTGATTTGTGGTCGCCACGATTCTGGGAACTGTGGGAGGGAGCATTTTGTTGAGGTCATTTTGTTCCTTTGATCCTTTTTTTCTTTGGCCGGTAACAGAACTCCTACTAAAATCTTGGCTATGCCCTGTTCTTACATTTCGTGTGGAATAAAGCACATTTGATCTTTGTCCCATATTAGATTCTCTGTTATGTTTTAGCCGAGCTTAGCCTGCATATTTTTGCCCCATAACTTCAGGCTGTTGCTGATACATGGCCGGACACCAGACAGATCGTGCAGATAAGTGGACGATTTGGGATCTTGTGGCAGTTGTGTCAGCTATAAATGGCCTGGTTTGCTTTGCTCTCGGTGACATCTACAAAAAGTCATTCGGAAAGTTGGGTGAGGTCGGTCTCGTTATTTATCTATATGTCTGGTTAAATGTGTCGACGCTCATATGGGTAACCCAGAAAGTTGGTAAAAGAAAAAAAACCCAGAAAGTTGAAGTTTCAAAAGGATTCCAAGATCTTGTGCTAGCTCTGACATTTGGTCTAACATGTTTTGGCTCCACCATCGTTGACATGCTTCAGACTGGAAAAGCAGATGTATTTAGCATTATCTCGTATGGTTCATTTGCCTTGATGTCCCTATCCATGTCAAGGGAGTCTAAGCTTGGATTCGAAACTGGCTTCTCCTCTTTTTTCCTGTCATTGTTTGCCTCACAATTTCCAAAAATCAACCGGCTGCTTGCACCGATTGCAATAGTCCTCTGCTCGGTCATCTTCTATCTTTTCCGCTCAACAAAAAGAGGAGGAGGACAGCATGATTCCACCAATCGAAATGGCAATGCATATTTAAGAGGCGCAGGGCAGGCCTTATTAATGTTTATAACGATTGTCATTTTTTTGCAGCAATCCTCGGGCGATCCTGAAGAACATAAGAATGGGGTGGGAGATCAAATCCAATATCAATATCATTTTGCTGATTAAATTTTTCACTCGTGTTAATAGTTTTCATTTTGTTGCAGCAATCCTCAAACGATCATATTTCTTTGAAAGAACAGACCAAGGTCTTATTTGAGTTTTACGGCAACATAATCAAGCAATCAAACCTGTTACTTGAACTACTATGTATTTTATCCTTGTGGATTTTCTATTTTGCAGGGACAAGATCCCCCAAAGAGGCAAGAAGATAACGGGCACAACCCATTACCGGGGAACGATCCACCAAAAATTGTAAGTGACCAAAACGGAATATAAATATTCAATTTACTGATATACTTCTCTAGTCTCCCATTAAATAACTCGACACTTATTATCACTTTCATAAAAATGTATCATCCCCAAAATACTGGACAAGTTTCGGGGAAAGCATATTAAACATAGTAGATTCAGGCAATCAGCAAAATATGGAGGAGGAAGAAGATCGTTCGTCCTGGACGGCTGTGCGAAATCAAATCCAATATCAATGTTTATTTTGCTGATTAAATATTTCATTCTCGTGTTAATGGTTTCCATTTTGTTGCAGCAATCCTTGGGCGATCATAAACGACATACCAATGTGGAGGTGGGAGATCAAATTCAATATCAACGTTTATTTTGCTGATTAAATTTTTCACTCGTGTTAAAGGTTTCGATTTTGTTGCAGCAATCCTCAGGCGATCATAAAGAACGTACCAATGTGGAGGTGGGAGATCAAATCCAATATTAATGCTTTAATGTTTGTTTTGCTAATTAAATTTTTTACTCGTGTTAATGGTTTTCATTTTGTTATAGGAATCCTCAGGCGATCGCATTTTTTCAGAAAAAGAAGAACAGACCAAGGTGATGGTGGGACATCAAATCCAATATCAATGTTTATTTTGCTGATTAAATATTTCACTCTCATGTTAATGGTTTCCATGTTGTTGTAGGAACCCTCAAGCCATGATAGTTCTTTAAAAGAAGCACGGATCGACGTGGTGGTAGGAGATCAAATTTAATACCAATGTTTATTTTGCTAATTAAATATTTCACTCTCATGTTAATGGTTTCCATTTTGTTGCAGGAATCCTTAAGCCCTCAGGTTTCTTTAAAAGAAGGACTGCCCTCGCCACACGGCGTGGGAGATCAAATTCAATATCAATGTTTATTTTGCTAATTAAATTTTTCACTCATGTTAATGGTTTTCATTTTGTTGCAGAACGTTATATACATTAGTGGTCGTATAGGAGGATATATCGATGAAGGGGTGGGACATCCAATCCAATATCAATGTTTATTTTGCTAATTAAATTTTTCACTCTTGTTAATGGTTTTCATTTTGTTGCAGAATATAAACAATGGTAACCGTATATTAAATTGTAACAGTGGGGCGGGCCATCGTATCCTAGGAACAAGCCTCCAACAAAGGCTAACCAAATGGTACTCCTCTAAAACACCATCATCTACAAGGTTCATGCTCAATATTTAAAGGGTGTTTGGATAAAATCAAATTATAGTTTAGATAATAGCTTCTGAAAAATAGATTTTGGGAGAATAAATTTTGTGAAAAATAGATTTTGTAAAAAAGTGATTGAGTGTTTGCATAGTTGTTATCAAAAGTATTTTTTATATCTACAAATTACTAAAAAAGATATAAGTTAATATGATAATTACATAAAAGATAGATTTTATAATATATTTTAATTTGAAAGAATAAAATTGTTAATAATATATTTTTTACCAATATAATTAATACTATATAAAATAATGTAATTAATAAATAATTAATATGTTTATATACATTTATAAAACATAAGATTAAATATGTTTATAGAAAAATAATTGAGGGTGTTAAAGTCATATTACCGTTGTAATCTACTTTGACAGACACAATCATACTCTCTAATTTGAGTCACAAGCAGAATAGATTCATTTTTTCTGAAACCATAGTTTTGAGCCTAAAATCATAGTTTGTTGATTTTTCTCCTGTTTGACAAATTTTTGACCCAACCCACCATGATTTCATATATTTGCCAAACAGGTCCTTAAAGTCATATCAATGCTAATGCGCAGTAAAAATTAATTACACGATATTGCCTTTTCTTTTCTTTTTTAATCTCCCCTTCATTTTGGAATTCCCAACAGCATGATTTAAATATATATTACTGTGCCCAAGCTCCCACACAAATAAATCACCGATCTTTTTCGCTGTTTGTACACAGTTTTGGCAAACATCGAGTCAAAACCGATATTGTGGCTGGAAAAAGCAAAAGCGAGCAAAAGAAGATAGCGGACTCAAAGGTACTTCTCTGAAACATATTAGATTCAGACAATCAGTAAAATATGGAGGAAGAAGAAGATCGTTCGTCCGTGACTGCTGTGGGAGATCAAATCCAATATTAATGTTCATTTTGCTGATTAAATTTTTTACTCGTCATTTTGTTGCAGCAACCCTGGTACCATCGTATCCTTGAAACAGGCCTTCGACGAAGACAGAACATAAGGCAGTCCTCTGAAACACCATCATCTACAGTGCTCAATATTTAGAGTCATGTCAATGTTAATTCACAGTAAAACTTAATTACATGATATTGCCTTTTCTGTTCTTTTCTATTCTTTTCTAATCTCCTCTTCATTTCAGAATTCCTAGCAACATGATTTAAATGCATATTACTATGCCCAAGCTCCCACACTAATAAATCACTGCTCTCCTTCGCCGTTTGTACACAGTTCTGGCAAACATCCAGTCGAAACCCATAATGTGGTTGAAGAAAGAAAAAGCGCAACCCATGAGCCTTCCACCGGGCAAAAGAAGATAGCGGACCCAAAGGTGCTTCTCTGAAACATATATATTAGATTCAGACAATCAACAAAATATGGAGGAAGAAGAAGATCGTTCGTCCGTGACTGCTGTGGGAGATCAAATCCAATATTAATGTTCATTTTGCTGATTAAATTTTTTACTCGTCTTGATGGTTTTCATTTTGTTGCAGCAATCCTGGTACCATCGTATCCTTGAAACAGGCCTCCGACGAAGGCGGAACATAAGGCAGTCCTCTGAAACACCATCATCTACAGTGCTCAATATTTAGAGTCATGTCAATGTTAATTCACAGTAAAACTTAATTACATGATATTGCCTTTTCTGTTCTTTTCTATTCTTTTTTAATCTCCTCTTCATTTCAGAATTCCTAGCAGCATGATTTAAATGCATATTACTGTGCCCAAGCTCCCACACTAATAAATCACTGCTCTCCTTCGCCGTTTGTACACAGTTCTGGCAAACATCCAGGTGAAACCCATAATGTGGTCCCAAAACACGAAACCCATGAGCCTTCCAGCGGGCAAGAGAAGATAGCAGACCCAAAGGTACCCCTCTGAAACACCCGTCATCTACGATTTTCATGCTCAATATTTAGAGTCATGTCAATGTTAATTCACAGTAAAAATTAATTACACGATATTGCCTTGTCTTTTCTTTTCTTTTCTTTTTTAATCTCCTCTTCATTTCGGAATTCCCATCAGCACGATTTAAATGCATATTACTGTGCCCAAGCTCCCACACTAATAAAGGTTAAGGTGCATCCAGCACCCCCAAGTATTTTGTCAGGTGCACCCAGTGGCCTGAAGTAATTTATGGTGCAATTTTGCCCTCAAAGTAATTAAAATGGTGCACCGGTACCCATGCTAATAGATCTGTTAGTTTGACCGTTAAATTGATGAGTCAGCACATGTTTGACCAAAATAATCTGACGTGGCATGTCTAATAAGCAGGTGACGTGGAATTTTTTCGGGGTTAAGGTGCATCCAGCATCCACAAGTATTTTTTCAGGTGCACCTAGTGGCTTAAAGTAATTAAAATGGTGCACCGGTATCCTATGCTAACAAATCTGTTACTTTGACTGTGAAATTGATGAGTCAGCATAAGTTTGACCAAAATAATCTAACGTGACATGTTTAATAAGCAGGTGAAGTGGAATTTTTTTCGTCTGCCACTGCTTTGTTTTCTCTGTTTAGTAAATGCTCTTTTCGGCTCTTGGAATTTTTTTCAGAGTAAGAAATTTTTTTAGAGATACTCTTCTGGTCCTATTTATAGGGTAGAGAGAGAAGATATTTTTTGGTCCTATTTATAAGGCATTGAGAGAAATTTTTTGTATGAATATACAAATTTACCCGTCATTTATTATTGTATTGACTTTGTTTACATGAGATATAATGTATATTAAATAGGGATAAAGTTGAAAAGTTATTAAAATTTAAATGAGAGTTAATGAAATTTAAGGTTTTTCTTGGTCTGTTTGAAACATACTGGAAGTGCCTTATAAATAGGATCAAAGGAGTAATATTCAGACAAAACAATGGAATTAACAAGAAAAGTCATGTCACCTGCTTATTAGACATGTCAGGTCAGATTATTTTGGTCAAACTTGTGCTGACTCATCAATTTCACAGTCAAAGTAACAGATCTGTTAGCATAGGATACCGGTGCACCATTTTAATTACTTTGAGGGTAAAATTGCACTATAAATTACTTTAGGTCACTGAGTGTACCTGGAAAAATACTTGGGGGTGCTGGATGCACCTTAACCCCGAAAAAATTCCACGTCACCTGCTTATTAGACATGTCACGTTAGATTATTTTGGTCAAACTTGTGCTGACTCATCAATTTAACGGTCAAACTAACAGATCTGTTAGCATGGGATACCAGTGCACCATTTTAATTACTTTGAGGGTAAAATTACACCATAAATTACTTCAGGCCACTGGGTGCACCTGGCAAAATACTTGGGGGTGCTAGGTGCACCTTAACCCCACTTATAAATCACCGATCTCCTTCGTTGTTTGTACACAGGCATCGCATAACTCAAAAGGCTAGCAGACGACGCACCGCGATAGGAACCAAGGTGCCCCATTGAAATTGAGTGAGGGTGAGAGCAGCCAAACGCAGTTGAGTGTTGGAGAATGTTGTGGTCCCTCTCTCTCTCTGCTTTCCGAATTTCTCTCTTTGATTTCCGTTGCTACTATGATTTCCTGGGATTGTCTAGAGTACTGTGGCTGATATATCTCTTTGCTTATGAACTTATGAGACCGTTTGGCTTATGTTTCTTTTTGCTTATGAACTTATGAGACACTTTACCTCCATTGTGCTTATTCTGATCTGTATTATACTGGTGAATTTCTTATTTCAGGCAACCTTATTACTCTCCTGGTACTTAATATAAGATCCGTTTAACTAATTTGATTAGATTAAAAAAGATATGTAAGTTAGTTAATTATAAAAAAAAGTGATACATTTTTCCTAAAACACGATAATCATCTTTTTTTAATACCCCTCTTCCTCTTCTACTTGATTATGACTAAGGGAGTATCCATAGGAATAATCTAGAGAAAATTGATAAATATGATAAATGGGTCTTATATTTAGGACTAAAACTAACTCAAGAATTGAGTCCTATATTAAGGACCGGAGGAGTATTACATTGGTGCTATCATTGACCTCCCATAACCAGAAAATTACTATGAGATCTCAAGAAGATAATTTAATTATTAAAAGTCTTAGTGATAACTAAGCAACATAAACCAGTTGTCATTTCCTACACAGGAAATTGTTATTACATGCTCCTCAGTTGTCAATGAATTATAGGGTAATTAAATCTCTTCCTTAGGATCAAATTGCAATTCTCCAAAAATAAAAAATAAAAAGTAAAATTCATCTTCTATTTAGGCATGGATCTTGCCGGCTTAGGTTTATTTTCTACTTTTTCTTTCATTGACTTTGGGCCTATGGGTGTTGTTTGGTTTAAACTGATGTAAATCCCAATATGTTG